AATTATCTAATAGCGGTTATCCGAATGGATGTTATATAAGATATAGAAATTGGCTCATAGAAATACTACTTCACTCTCTATTGGTAAATAATTAGTTAGAGAGAAATGTGAATGAAACACTGGTTTAATACATACACTAATTCAATATTATACTGGACTTTGATGCTATCAATAGAAAACAGAAAACCGAATTGTCAGTCGTAACCTCGTTTGGTCATTAATAATGTGACTATGAACACAAGATATATGTTCAACAATAAATCGTGTTACTGAATTGAGAAAAGAACAATTAAATGACTGAAATGTCAAGTTGATTTACTGAAACTCAGCTTATAGTCTACAGAATAACGACACCTACATATTATGTTATAATCTGAATTATGAAACAATAATACAAAGAATGTATGATGGTTTACTTTATTAAGGTTTACAAAAATTTACCATAACTGTTAAAAGATTTATCAAACACTTAAGAATAATGTGCTATCGGTTTAAATATGGCGATATTTACAAAAAGCTAAAGTATAAAATCGGAACCATTCATAAAATCGATCATACACCTTTTTCTCTATTTGTAATTTCTCATGGAATAGTAAAGTACAATTTGTTTTAGCTTTACATCATTTTTATGGATGACTATCCGGCATGAAAATAAAGTGAAACAATGTGACCAATTTATTCGGTACAATGATCATGTAAGTTTTGTTTTCGATAAAATGTAATAGTAACATAAACTCGAGTATTTTGGAGACCACGACAGAAGTAAGAAGTAACATGTTATCTATAAATATTTTGATGATCATTATCTATCGTATCCAACACTTAGACATGGGGAATATATAAGTTGGATCCGTAGTCAATGAGTTTGTAGTCTTCCGATTGATATTTTAGAAAGCTCCTATGAATAGCGTTTGTAGTAATTATTATGATTAAAAGAGAGTTGTCTAATGTAGTAATATAATTATAAATATGTATGTCACATTAGTGGTAACCATTATGCTCCATAACTTAGGAGCAAATACGTTTAATATAATGGTTTAGTGTCCTTAAATTATGGATTAAGTGATCAGAAGTATGTAATTGCTATTCATTGTCACTAGTCGCAATCACAAAGTAGTAAAAATAGAACTTTGCTTTATCTTGTTGAACTCGTAATGACAATGGTTGATGAAAGTATTAAATATTACTTAGATTGTAAAGAGAATCTAAAAATTAACTTCAAATTGTATGGTACCTCAGTCAAGAAAATTGTAATTTTTCAAAAAACTTATTTCGAAACCATATGTAGTCAGTGGTAAATTATGATCTCCCATGAAGGTACTATAATCTCCACAAATTCTCATACTGATTATTTATTCGTATTGATCATATATCTATTCAATTGATACAGTTTTTACATTCTGTAAATCAGTCATCTAATCCTGTTAGTATGGTACATATTTAATGTGAATTGTTTCCTTCCATTTAACATTTCTAATTTATATGCTTGTATAAAAAGAATAACTGATTTCCTCTCCTTTATTTTGTATTCATAAAGAATATATATTTTAAATAGATTTACATTTTTTTAGAGTATTAAAACAATTAGTCTCTTTAATAAATTTGCATAATGCAATGAGAAGACGAATTATATCAGAATTATGTGATATGCTTGAGCAATACATTTCGAACAATCTGATCACACGTAATGTACTTGTTAAGACATCTTTATATGAAAATTAAAGGACAACTAGAGAGGTTAAAGGTAAGCCATAACAAAGAAAAAAATAATAATAAAGTACACAAAAACAATGCGATCACCATTCTGGATAATAAATCAGTATTATCAGGGTAGGTTAAGTGTAAGGACAAATTGTTTTTGAACGCATAAACGGGGTTTCAATTTCAGTATAGGCAAGGCATCAATAAACTTTAGTATAAGTTCTTGAAAGCTTTTGTATAGCACTACAAATGTTGATTTGATGTCAACCTAATGACCCGTCTCAATCAAATGTTTCGCAATGGAGGATGATATCTGTCTATCCTATGATCTTATTTGACCATTGGAATCTATTTGTTTCTGAAGCCATTTCGGTATGTGTTCACCCACCCTTAATTGCAAATCACGCTTACTCCTCCTTATGTACGTGTTCCCACACATACATGTAAATTGATAGACACCATAAATTCACTTGATGTTATTTTTTTACTTGTATCTTCCCATTGTTATTTAAGACTACGATTGATCAGTCTCGTGTTGACATTTATGCATCCTATGCGGATTGTCTTGATATAACCTTAGACACAATGTTATAACAAGCATATTATGTATGATCAGATTGTTCGAAATGTATTGCACAAATAGATCACATAATTCTGATAAACTTCGTCTTCTCATTGCATGATTATCAAAATTTAGAATATTAATTAAATAATGAAATATAATAGATTTAAACTATTTACTTTAATTAAATATAAGAATTACTAATAATCATTAAGAAGATTACTATAAGAAATAAACATTTATTATATTCATATACATTTATTTTATACAAATTAAATAACTATATAAGTGTATATATTTTGTTTTTCCTCTTTTTTTCTTTCTTTTTACTTTTTTCTTTTTTTCGTTTTTGTTTTTCTCTTTTTTTAATAAAATCAATAACATAAAGAATAAAAAGTTGTAATAAACATTCAAATTAATTTTCTTTTTTGAATAGATTTGCAGATTTCAATTTCATTGTAGTTTTATGAATATTAAAATCATATATGGAAGACATAATTATTATATATATATATATATATATATATATATATATATATATATATATATATATATATATATAGTGTGTGTGTGTTTATCCTGTACAAATTATACAGAGTTTTGACTTGTTGCATATTGTATTAAATTTTCTTTTAAAAGTAATAATTCTTTACGATGATTATCAACTAATGATGTCTAATTGAATTATATTAATGAAATATGGAAAAGTAAAGAAATAAGATAGTGTTATTGAAATTATAAGAAAAATGTATAGTTTATATGAATGTATTTAGTTTATCAGTTTAGGAGTTGTGGAGATTGTTAAGTTTTTGATTGAAATCATGAGTCAATTGAAGCTAGACCATCATGGAAAACCTGGAAGCACTGGACGGTCAACTCGTCCTAGTATAGGACTCCTCAGCAGTGCGCATCCACGATCCAGCATCCCGCGAGATTCGAACCCAGGACATATCAGTCTCGCGCCAGGCGCTTAACCTACTGGACCACTGAGCCGGCATCCAATGGTGTTAATGTCTAACCTCAACCAATCCACGAAGTTGCGCGACCACCTTCCATTGTACTGAGGTAGACAACTGTTTCTACCCGACACCGATTAGCTCCACTGGTTTAGTTTAATTGAATTCTTTATTTTCAATAGGTTGAGATCATGAGTTAATTGAAGCTAGACTATCATGAAAACCACCCAGATCCCAGCGGAGGAAGAAATCAGGAAGAAGTGCTGTAAGTGCATAGGACACATATTGAGAAAAGCAATCAACCGTGTCACAAGACAAGACCTCACATGGAATCCTCAAGGCCAAGGAGGAAGACCAAAGAACACATTACATCGGGAAATGGAGACAGACATGAGAAAAATGAACAAGAATTGGATGGGATTAGAAAAGAAGACCCAGGTTGGAGAATGCTGGTCGGCGGCCTATGCTCCATTAGGAGTAACAGGTGTAAGTAAGTAAGCAAGTACCATGAAAAACTTGGAAGCACTAGATGGCTATTTCGTTTTATTGTGAGATTCTTCAGCAGTGTGAATCCACAATCCCGCTCGGTGAGATTCAAAGCCAGGACATATAAGTTTTGAAATGACGCGATATAACGAAGTGGCCATCCAGTGATTCTAGGCTTTCCATGGCGTTCTAGCTTCAATTGACTCATGATCTCAACTACTGAAATTACTATAATATCCACAAAATCCCATTCTGAATTCTTTATGTTAAATGTTTTATTTCTAGCGGTTTGATTGTTATTCTAAACAAAATCATTAATAATTACTTGGAGTAAAAGAGAGAATTTTATTTATTCTATGAACTTCAAACATAGATTCTAGAACAAAAATGTTAACTTGATCGTGAAGTAACCATTTTTTCATGCATTAAACTCTGATGTTATCTAAAATAACAATGAAAGCCTCAATAGACAATCATTTGTGGATTAATTGAATTTCGACTTGAATGCAACTGAATGCTTGTTCTGTGTGCTAAAGATCAAGCGTTCGCGTGTGACACCGGAGCCTTTGCGTTCGATCTTCGGTGGTGGGTTCATGGTTGAGCACTACTGAGGAGTCTTATACCAAGACGAAACCGCTGTTCAGAGCCTCCATGTCCTCAACGGTTGTTTAGCTTAGATCAATTAATGAATTCGACTTAATAATAGGGATATTTGACCATTTTGATTATGATAGATTCACATATTATGGTATACGTTTAGAAGTTCAATAGGTGTTTAGGAATAAGGCTTTAAAATGTACTAAAGTTTTTGTGTTACATTCTTGTTACTTTATTCAACAAAAACAATTGATCAAGCAAATGACTGTAGTTTATTACGCATTAGTTAATAACCTTTAAGTTTTCATACACGACAGGATATATTACAAAACACATAATTTTTACTAAATTACGTCATGAAATTCTTCTCTTCGATTACGTTTATTCAGGAAAGTTTACGTTTGCAAAACTGCAACATGATTACAGTTTTTTAACATATTGTTATAACGTGAAAAATAAATGCTGCTGATTGAGGGTAGCGAATTATTGATCGGACCAAAGACGCGCAAACACGTAGAACGACCTAGGGTTCTGATTGGTCTCGCTTCCCTGTCTAACCCAGCCAGTTGAGTCCAGAACGAAAGTTTCAGCCTCCGATATATGAATCATTATATTTCAAACATACTTTGTTTATATACCAATCAAGCAGACTACAACGTACCATAAAATAGAAAATGACATTGTACAATAATGGCCAGTAGGAAAATGACACGTTAAACAAATATTGACCAATAAGATGATACCATTCCATGTCCAAGGATAGCATTAGGCTTAACAGGATAATTTTTGGGATATTTTCCTGAATATCCCAACACATATGGAGGATTCTAAGCAAAATAAGGTAGTCTTTCCGATCCTATCAACACCCACGCAGACCACAACATACCAAATAAACTTAACTAAAAGGATTCTAGGGTTATGAAATACATGTTCCAGGAAGCCCAGTCAACGTAAATCATCACTTTTTATAATATATTTATTTTGCATCCTACATAAAATGTCAGTATACTTCCGTCAAACTTCTTCAACTACAACGATGTGAAAACGCTAGAAAAATGAAAGTTCAAAGCTGACAATTAAAACCTTCAAAAGCTTGATATTTATAACTAAACAACTTACCAAAATATTATCCCATCTTTCTGTGAACTGTTCCATAGTATCCATAAGTGTTATCAAGTATCTTCAATGAAAGTAAACATATAAATGTATCAAAAATGCTCACAATAATAACGTGAAACACAATGAAACAAATTCGGGACTATAAAAATATTTTACATTAACATTAACAAAAAATATACAGAATTTAATATTAAATAACAGAGAATAATGGTAATCTTCTTTTGTTTCGAACGTGGATATTTATCAAAGAATAAAATTGTATTAAACAAAATCATTCTTAAGAATTAATTAATTAATTACTGGTCATCTTAACTAGAGCAACAAAAGTATGACTTTGAATATTGTTGAAATTATCATCAGTGTAAAATGTCGATAAGTTTGATTGCTTCTTAGTGGCCTGTTATTTTGGAGCCAATTAGATTTGTATAAATGGTTTTTATTGAATGGCTACTGTCGAAACATATATGTCGTCAATCCTCGCATATAATCATCGACTTGAATAGTGTTAGTGAATAACAGAATAAAACAGGTCAAATATGAGAATGGATTTTGATGTACGTATATTTTGTACCCTCTTTGATCTGGACAGACAATTAGACGGACTAAGTGAAGGAAGCGAAGGGAGCGATGCGAATTGACAGGCAGTGGAGAAGACGTATGAGCCAACTCGATTTAATCAAGCGTTAATTAATTTTACAGCCATATGATGGGTAGAATAAAAAGTGCACACAAATGCACTCATATAAAAACAATGAAGGTTGATAAGCGATTAATTAACAAGATCAAGATTTGATTCAAGCAGGATGAATGTTCGGGAGCTAGAATAATCTATGTCGGCTTGCATAGCACTACAGTTTTAAGATATGTAAGAAGTAGCGAAGGATAGAGGTATTTGAGTGACTTGTAGTGACTTACTTTTATCAAGAGAACGCGACTGGTTTAATGGAAACAATTATTATAACCAATAGTACCACTGATTGTTTTACTGTACTTGTTTGTTTAACTGTAATAAAGACATTCTTCCTTCCGTTGATTGTGAACTTGCACGAACTTACGTCTGCTCAGTAGTTCCGCTTGTACTCCTTTGGCACGATCTCAGTATTCTTTCGATGCCACAAGATCGCTGACAAATACATCTCGACTACAGCCATCAACTGCCTTCTGATATTTGGCCCACGGGGGATCTTATCGGTTAACTGGCATGTAGTCTTCCTGTAGTAGTGATCATAGTCAACCACGACTCGACGCCACACTACAACTGGTGGACGCAAAACTACGAACACTTTTCAATCGCGGTCGAATCTTCCAAAGAAGCCAATCGCGGTGAGTCTATTACTTATCTATCCACGTCTGTTGCACATTTTCATATTGATATTTTTCAATATATAATATTCTGGCAACAACTTGAAATGACGGATAACGATAAGAATAGTAATAATATAATAGACTCTGACGTACAGGTTATCCATTTTCGATCTGTATCTTTTATCCCCCCCTGGTCCGGAAGTTTGGTTCGCGGCACTGGAGTCTCAGTTCGAGACCCGCAGCATTACGAGCCAACGGCAAAAGTGTGCATACGCTCTGAAATCTTTATCAGGGGATCACATTGTCACTGTCCGTGAGGTCGTTCTCAACCCCAATGTGCCTAACGTTTATGATCGCCTCAAGGAGGCGATCCTCAGACATTTCCTCCTATCAAGAGGGGAACGGTTGAGGACATTATTAACAGGTCACTCCCTAAGTGATGCTAAGCTGAGCCACCACCTCACGAGCCTACAGTCTCTTGCAGGATCCACGGCAGCTGATTCCAAAATTGTCAAGTAATTGTGGTTCGAATCGTTACCAGCACAAATCTAGACAACGATCACGGCCCTGCTCGAGGATGCACCACTCAACCAGGTGGCCCTCATAGCAGACAAAATACTGGCAACCGAGACAACTAAATAATTGCCTCGACGTCATGTTCAAACGTGGATATCGACGCTAGTCGCTTCCCGGCTCAAGGTGACAGGGGCAGTCGTGTTCATACATGTCTTAACTTCCGAGGCCGTTACGATATACCTGAACCCTACGTCCCTTGAGCTAGATCACGCTCTTGAAAAGCCGCAACCACTCACCCAACGCGTACATCTTCCAAGCCACGCCAAAAAGCGGCTTCGGAAGCGAGTGTGGGTTGGTGCTGGTTTCACCCCTCCTTCAGGCCCGGTGCCCGCCGTTGCCGAGCCCCGTTCTCATACAAGGCGGGAAACTCCCGAGCCGGCGAGTAAATGCGACCGTAATCGCCGGTCCTTCACTCCATGTTGGCTACTAATTTTATGTGCACGATTACCGCACGAACGCTAGGTACCTAGTAGATACAGGTGCCCATGTTTCTGTCGTATCTCTTGGTAACAGTAAGCCACAAGCTACGACGCTTGGTGTCACCATCTTGAAACACCGACTTCGGTGAATTGGACATGTTCCAAGAATGTCGTTCCAGAAAATTCCACGTCGTGCATTATTTGCCGACGCTGGGACTGGTTGGAAAAAGCGGAGAGGTGGTCAGTATATGACATGGTGTCGTGGTATGAAAGAAAGCTGCAAAGGACTGGCTTGTGTTGGTTCTTCACGACTCCTTGGCTGGGGTCCGAGAGATGGTGCGACACAGTGGCTAGAGACGTTATCAGATATGGCTCAGAATAGAAGCTAGTGGCGATCCTGCTGTAACCTTCTGTTACTTTCTTCATAAAAAGTGGTTGCTTCTTCCTTAACTGAAAGATTTCTTCTGGTTGTACCTTTCTGTTTCCTCCATTATTACTATTATCATTATTATTACACTACCTTACACCGATCTGTTTGTTATTGTTGTCTTTTTCTTTCACGCTCCTTACCTTTTTTTCCTTGTCTTTAAATTCTCATTGTTTTGTGTAGCGCATATATATTTGGTGCCCTCTTGTACCAATATTTATGTGTTCAAATAAATAAATAATACAATAAACGAAGCTTCGACTACGCGCTACGAATGGCTCAGCCATTCCTACCTATGGTACAGGACAACTCACGGTCAACCTGGGCAACCGACAACAGTATTTGTGGACGTTCATCATTGCCGATGTTCCCACAGCCATACTTGGTATTGATTTCCTACAGCATTACAAATTGCTAATCGATTCACGTAGGCTGCAGCGAATCGATACTTCGTCAAACAGTAAATTCATGGGCTTTAAAACTCAAAAAAATGCATACCGAATCTTAGGCGTATTTCATTCGCGTGACTATATATTCCACGCTTAATTTGAGAAATTCCCCAAATTAACTAAAACATTTGAGGAGATTCCATCGGTGACCAATCGTGTGGTACTCCTTTGGCACGATCTCGATATTCTTTCGATACCACAAGATCGCCAACAAATATATCTCACTTCAACCATCAATCGCCTTCTGATTTTTGGTTTACTCGAAGGTTTAGCGGTGGTGATCATAGTCAAACGTGACTTGACGTCACACTACAAACTAAATATTTAATTTGAAAGCAACCATTGTAAATGTAACTTAGAATTAAACCGGCCAATCATAAAACAATTTATAGAGATCGATTCAATTAAAAAACATTGGTATTTAGGACTAATATTCATTGAAACCCTCAGTAAAACGAGGCAGTAGATGCATAACTACTCATAATAACCAAGCTGATTACCGGTTGTGTGTTCATTAGCAACTCCATTATAAGATAGAAATTCGTGAATATAAAAAATTCAAGGTTTAAATAGATTACCATTGATCAAATAGAGTGTGCTGATTATAGTTAGAAAAAGTCACATATTGGATTTCATTTACTTAAATTATACCATACTCGTTGTATTCATGTATGAATCTTCTATAAATTTCACTTTGTAGATAAATACTAGGATAAAATATTTTCATTATTTTAGCATTTATTAAGCTTGACTACATTTAATTGAATGAATGGAATGAATGTCAACTAAATGAACCATTGTACAGAAGAAGTTCACTATTCTATGATGCTTTTAATGGTTGACTGAACAATATCAAGTAGATATAAAACAATATCATTATTCTATTTTATTGCTTCACTTCACAACTGTAAAAATAGATCATTAAATTGAAAAAATAAATAAAGTTCAACTTTGACTAATCATTCATATAACACTACAGATTATTGGTAAAGAAAACAACTAAATAACCGAAACTATCGCTTATTTGCAAAAAAATATCAAAACTAAAAACGGATAAAAACAATCGAATCAGTTGACTGTAATAAATTGTCATAACTTGTGACCTGTGTGCCGTGTTAATGTATAACGTAAGCATACCGCCAATTAGAGAGCAGTGAATTATCGATCGAACCAGTGAAGCATAAAACCCGTATGAGCAGTCTAGAGTAATTATCAGTCCTGCTACCTGCCTAGCCCATCCAGTTAAATCCAGAACACCAATCTCAGCCTCTGCAATATTAGTCGTTTATTTCAAGAATACTCGGTTTATATACCAACCAGACAGACCACACCGTACCACAAAATGTGAAACAACATTTATACAAGAATTAGCCAAATGTGGCTGTGAATGTGGGTGGTAGTAATTAACAGATTGGGCATAATTCAAGAACAGTAAATCGTATAATAATAGTCTATTGCGATGGAACAATGAGAAGACGGAGTTTATCTGAAAAATGTGATGTATTTGCGCTATACATTTCGAACAATCTGGTCACACATATACTTGTCAGAGCATTTTTATATGAAAATTAATAAAGGTCAAACAAATGAAAGTACAATTAAAATAACTAAGAGGAGAGAAAGAATAAGAAATTGTCGCTTCATCCTAGGCCATAGAATGACTTAAGGATTACCAAGGTAAATTCAAGGTTACGACAAATTGTTTTTGTACACATAAGGGGGGTTTAAATTTACGAATAGTCAAGGCTTCAATAAACTTAAGGATTCGACCTTGACGATTTATATACAACGTTCTAAATGCTGTATTAATGTTAATTTTGTGCGACCAGATTGTTCGAAATGTATAGCGCAAATACATCACATTTTTCAGATAAACTCCGTCTTTTCATTGTTCTATTGAAATTTATAAAAGGGACTAATTGCTTTAAATAGTCTATTGGTCAAAACAAAGCTTATAATAAGAGGGATATGAATATGAATAGTTTAGTCATTTAACAATTATACGATAAAAATATACGCATAGTATTGATCCATAAATGGATCCCATAGTTACTATTCATTATGCTTATCGCGACATAACATAAATATAATATTTGCAATATAAATATCAACATCCCATGAGAAACAACAAACTTTTCAGCGAGCGATTCATAAATGTATAACTTCTACTTATATTAAAACATCGGTAGACTACTTTCAAATTAATATATGCAAATCTACTGTTGTTTTGTATTCTTTTTATATTATAGAGATAAAAGGTTATTTTAGTTACTTATCATCTTAGAATGACACCAGATATGGAAACATCTAAGCCTAAGTATTGTTTTACTTGAATCATCCCATTGATGTTTTAGGACTGAAATTGATCAGTCTCTTATTGGCATATGTGCACACTGTGCGAATGCATCGATATTGCCTTAATTTACAAGCATTATAAGCAAAGGTGGATAGTGGCTAGCAGTGGAATCCAGGACGCGCGTTTCGATTGATCAATTTCAGTCCTAAAACATCAGTGGGAAGATTCAAGTAAAACAATACCAATTGAAATAAACTTCACCCCATTGCACAAGCAAGTGGCTATCAGGACTCAGTAGGTAAGTGGATGACGCGATGGCGTTTGAAGCGAACGGTACTGAGTTCGAGTCCTAGAGTGAACATCAACTCCGAGATGCAGGTACACCCAACTGACGAGTCCCAAACAGGACGAAATGCGCGTCGTGGATTCCACTGCTAGACACTATCCATCTTTGCTTATAATCTAAGCCTAAGGATCAAATATTTCTTCTCAGTACATAGATCCCAAGTAGATTGATAAATGCTAATGAACACACAATGTATATCAATATAAACTAGCCTGGAAGGTTATAGGAAGTAACTGTAGATGTTTTATTTTATCTGAATGCTAAACAGTGTTTCCATATGGGCTACTAATATAACATTATAGATCAAAAGGAATTCATATGATTTACACTTCACAATTACTGATTGGAATTTAGATACTTGTAACTACTATAACACAACTGACTAGTTTAGTTGGAACAATATTCCAATGTTAATTGACAATTTGCATTAAAAATTTAGTTTATTAACATTATTTTGACTTATTTCTACATCAAAGAAGATGAAGTTTCATAGGTTACATCAAAAATAAGAATATCACTCAAATGAAAATAGTCATTGTGACTGTTCTATTAGTTTTGTTTTGCATTCTTAATAAACATTCAACTTACTGTTTATCAGAGTTGTTCATACATCTTTCACTTGATTGAACATTATAGTTTGTTAACCGACGATGTGGTGAGAATTTATCTAAACAAACTGGACTTGTAGAAAATCGTGATAATTCTCTACTAGCTGAACATCCTATTGTATTTCCCATAGGAAATAAATGTGGATGTGTTTGTAGTGTTGGAGAGAATTTACTTGAAAAATTAGAACTACAGGATGGTGATTTTTTTCCTTGTAAAATACCTGACCGTCGATGACGTGACTCATATAAACGTTTTGCTGCGTGCTTACGGATAACAAACTAAAAAAAAGAACATTTTTATAAGTCCTAATGATACTTTGAATATAGAATCGAGATTACAGACAATGATATATATATGCAAATAAATATTACTAGTTGAATTCATGAGCCAATTGAAGCTGGATCACCATGGAAAACCTGGAAGCACTGCATGGAATCTCGCGGCAGGCGGGATCGTGGGTGCGCACTAGGACGAAACGGCTGCCCAGTGCTTCCTGATTTTCCATGGTGGTCTAGCTTCAATTGACTCATGATTTCAACCGGTGAAATTTCTAAAATTTCCACAAATCCCCTTCTGAAAATAAATATTACACAAAAATTATGATAACTTAGACAAATAATATTCTTAACACAATAATAATTATCTAATGTGCAGTAGTTGAAGATTGTCAGTAATAAACAGTATATCTATCTTCCAACCCATTTAAATTCATATGACACATAAAATAATCAATATTTTTAATTCAGGTATAATGTTACGGATCTGTCTGGAATTTGGTTGATCTCTTATATGGCTTGATTGCCTAGAGAAACTAAGTATTCATTAAATCTGGATGTCATTATTTGGTGCTTACTTATAAGCGATCATAAACGGCATGTGTAAAGCGCCTCCTACGCTGTTTGGTTTTTGAAAGGTCACAGATATATTCGAAGTTAATTTTTCTTTAGCATTGTAAAGTATACTCTAATAAGAAACTTATGTTTCCAACTGTTTACTGGATCCTTTTTATAAACCAACACTAAATAATGTCACATAACAATTGTTAAGTAAAATCAACTCTATTCTTTGAATGATATAATGTTGAAAAACTATGCATAGATTCTTCTCCTTCTTCTTCTTCGACGAGTTCCTTTTTTATGACTTCAATAGTATATAAAATTAATGATATCCGTTAGACTGAAGGTAAAGATATTTTTTGACTTTGTGTGGATATAGCATTGTAGGTGTGTATTGTATTATTTAACAATTCTGTTAATTATTATTTGATAGTATTTTTAGGAATGTCGGTAGAGTAAATTTCAGTCATACATAGTGTTTAAGGGATAGAAGTATTCTATAGTTTTAATGTGTGAAAGTGAATAAGTGGTTGGTTTAATAACATAACGCTATCTCAGCAGCAGTAGGTCTCAACATTTACAAAAGCAAAAGCAAGATTCTCCATCATTTGCACGCGAGATTGATAGGTCCTCTCGTGAATATAGATCGTGGTCGCGCATTGCTGAGGAGTCCCACAATAGGACAAAACGGCCGTTCAATGCTCTCAGGTTTTCCATGGTGATCTAGCTTCAATGGATTCATCATCTCAACTATTAAATTATTTATGCACATATTGTATAATTTGTATGTCTGTCATTGAATTTTCTCCTTTGATTGAATTCGTCAAGTCAAAATTTTTATATACAAAGTATTATTTTTATTTAAACATAAGTTATATACTAAAATTCATTGGATATATTATAAATTTTTCATAGGGGCCCTTATTGTATTTAATTCTGTTTAAGTACTTTTCTTTAATAGGCACTATCTTGTATAAACTGATTATGGAAACAGAATTGATAATAAACCAAATGTTAATGAAATATTCAAATACACTTGATTTTTGTAATGTTTTAATACAGTTAAATAAACGTTGATTTATATAACAGACCTTACCATTGGGTTGTTGAAGAAAAAAAACGATGATAATTAGGCCTAACTGATAGTTGACAATGGATTACTAGAAATTTTATAAAATCTGGGTAAAACACTTTACGTTCAAAATGCAGTTTACATATCATTAAATGAATCAGAGTTATATTTGAATTGACTACCACATACACATTGTTATGGAAAATTCATTTAAACAATAAACTATAGTCTATCTTTTAAAAAAACACGATTGGAAAACAGTTTAATTTGTGAATTCTATAAGCTCTTGAAGTTTTAACAATAACTGAAAAGGCTATTCAAATCTATTATTATTAGCAAAGATTGATAGTGGCTAGCAGTGGAGTCCAGGACTCATGTTTCGTCCTACTTAAGACTTTTCAGCTGGATATACCCAAATCTCAGATTTGATGTTCACTCTGGCTTTCTTGACTCAGTAAGTAAGTGGATAACGCGATGACGTTTGAAACAAACGGTACTGGATTCGATTCCCAGAGTGAACATCAAATATGAGATGCAGGTACATCCAGCTAACGATTTTGAAATAGGACGAAACGCGCGTGCTGGAAACCACTACTAACGACTATCCATCTTTCCTTATAAAGCTTGTGACTTAAGGCAATATCGATGCAGTCCGCACAGTATGCCAATAAGAGACTGATCAATTGCAGTTCTAAACTACAATGGAAAGATTCAAGTAAACAATACCAAGGGAATTTGAATAGTTGTATTGTTTGTAATAATAAATGAAAAATAATGAAGTCACACGGTAAATGGACTACATTATATTCTCAGCATTTTCCTAACTGATCTCAGTAATTTATATAAACTAACTTTTGTACTTCCATACAGATTTTATAAAATAGAAGTGGCGCCAATTTAATTTCTTACCATGGAAACTGAAATCAGTTGATTTAAAGATATTCGTAGCCTACAAAATATAACATGCATTAATGTTTGATCGCTAAAAGGTAAACTGTTTATGGAGATGTGTAATTAATAAACCTTAAAATTTTCAACTTTATGAATCAGAAATATATAAACGAACAGTATTGTTTTTCAGGCTTTATGCTGATATTCAGTAATATTTATATCACATAGGGGATTTTGTGGAAATTATAGTAATATCATTAGATGAGATCATAAGTCAATTGAAGCCAGATCGTCATGCAAATCCTGGAAGCACTCAATGCGCGCGAGGCCGACAGGTCGTGAGTTCGAATCTCGCGAGGCGGGATCATGGATGCACACTTCTGAGAAGTCTCACAACAGGACGAAACGGCCTTCTAGTGCTTCCAGGTTTTCTAGTGTCAATTGATTCATAATATTAATATACATATACGAAATTAATAAACCAATCAAGACAGTTTACAAGTCAGTGATAATAGTAGAATGGATTACATAAATAAACAAAATAAATGCAAAGTACGAGTCAGTGGTGTGGAAACAGGTCTACTAATTGTGATAAGAATAACAAAGGCTTGTTTTTTTCATAGGGGAATAGATCGATGACCTGAAAAATATAGAAAGTAAAACAGCATTCATCAAATTCACTTGGTGATGTTTGCATGCATCTTTCCATTGTAGTTTAGAACTGCAATTGATCAGTCTCTTATTGGCATACTGTGCGGACTGCATCGATATTGCCTTAAGTCACAAGCTTTATAAGGAAAGATGGATAGTCGTTAGTAGTGGTTTCCAGCACGCGCGTTTCGTCCTATTTCAAAATCGTTAGCTGGATGTACCTGCATCTCATATTTGATGTTCACTCTGGGAATCGAATCCAGTACCGTTTGTTTCAAACGTCATCGCGTTATAAAATAAATGAACGAAGAGTATGGAAAATATTAATGAGTAAAATTTTTGAGTAAGGTTAATTTGGCCAAGAAAAAAATATTAAAAATCTATTATGACTACAAGGACGTGAATCGTTAGCTCGAATCTTCTAGTTTCTGCAATGTGTAAGAGACGAAATCCAAACCCACATGCAAAACTAATCGGAGAATGACAAATCACTTCAATTTTATATCTTCTAAATCAAATGTAATAGAGCAGGGATCCGTATCGCTTTGTAAATACCCTTTCCTAACCACGAAAGTAGGTGTTCACTAAGTCTTTGGCTCGGTTATCTGGTTATGTATCCACTATAGCTTTCTCCACAAGAGTAGCTGAATTTATATTTATACAGAAATATCAGTAAGTGGTTGTGGAGATGGCTGAATTCATTGAAACCATGAACCAATCAGTGTTACATGACCATTAAGAATCTAGGACCACCAGGCATCCGCTTCGTCGTTGTACGAGATCCCTCAGCAGTGCGCATCCATGATCCATCTCACATCACTCGAACCCAGGATCTTCAGTCTCGCGTAAATGTTTAACCTCTAGACCACTGAACTGGGACCCATCGGTGCTAATATCTAACCTCAACTAATTCACATGGATTTGGCGAAGTAATTTCGTATATGCATATATATATTACTACATATAAGAGTAAAGCATGGTGAGGATCTAACTGAAGACAATACTGTTCGCTTATATATATCGTTCTAATTAACAAATAGACGTGCCGGAATTCGTCGAGTAATTTGATTTAGATGAAAATAACTGTAAACATTAAGTCATATAATTCTCATAAAATGGTAACCCAGTAACAAAGCTCTTAGTATTTTAGTTTATCAGTACCGGATTTCAATCTCACTTAGAATACCAGAATAGTTATACGTATGTGTCTAGTTAGTGTAGTTCAGATAAAATGAAATATGCCTCCTATATTCTTTTTCATACAGCAAAATATGCTACATTTAATTTTTGTTAGTAAACAGCATATTTTTTCTATTAAGTTTACAGTAGTATTTGAAAATAGTTATCTCTTGATTATACTACTGAATAGTAATATTAAAAATCAATTTTATGAAGACTGCGAATAGCTGTTGGGAAAAATTTAGGGGTGGCCAAATCGAAACTTGGTATCAGTGCTTGAAGTCACTAACTTCTGGTCTTAGCCATATTGGTAAATGCAGACTACTTGGTTGGAGTCCACAGGACTATCGTAGCCAATGGTTGGAGACTGTGGGTGACACCGATCAGAACCGATCACAATAGCGTGAGTGATAAAATTTGTTATTATTGAATACGTTTTGATAGCAAATGGTAGTTGTAATGAGATAAATAATCTGATAAAAAAAACCAATATTACCTCAGCTTCTGGATGATCTTTCAATGCCTTTAATATATCATCACGTGCTAGAACAAATAATTCAGCATATCCAACAGCACGCACATCAGCAGTTCGTCTAAAACGATAAAGGAAGGAATTAAACGTTAATCATCAGAGTTTATGTTTGTCATGTGAAAGTTAAATGTCATGAGTCCTATATGGCTTAAGATCTTGAGTGTAAACTACTGAAAATGTTCAGAGAAAAATTATTTTAAATCGTACAAGTTTTCAAGTTTTTCACCAGCTGGTGTTTGTAATAAGTAATTTGGTTAGCGAGGATTATAGGTATTTGATATTCAACTACCAAACCAATTGTTCGAAACCATCACTTTTATTCATTTGGATAGTCATATAGTATTTTACTCTGTCATAGTAAACCTACCTTCTAAAGTGACGACTTGTTGTAAGATTCAGGACAAGCGCTTTATCGCATTCAAAAACAAGTTCGTACTTGCATTTTAAAGTTATTGTAGGTACCGAGGTTTAAGCCTACTGTCCTTCTCTTTAAATTCCAAGACGTTATTCTTAAGCTATTGAGTTCAGATAGCCACTGACTTGTTTAACGGTTACTATCCCTTCTATTTAAATTACATAACGTTGCTATTAGATTACAAAGTTTAGGACTAAGGTATATGATATTGGAATTAAGTACTGTAACATCTTATTTTCTACATAAAAAAAGAATAATACTTGGGAAACCTTGGAAAAATTGGCCCAGGATAGAGTTCTTTGGAGAATCCTCATCGGTGATTTATGCTCCACGATAGTTAACAAGTGTAAATCTATCAACAATTATTTCACTAAACATGGGAGAATATTTATACAACTAATTTAATCAAACAAACGTAAATAAGACGTTTGAAATTACTAGAAGAAAGTAAATAAAATAATTCATATAAATACGTTGAGCTCACCTATTTATCCCATCCAAATTTAATACACCAATTTCACCAAAAAAATCACCTGGACCCATTGTAGAAAGAACTTCACTTTCTTCACTATTGAAAAAATATCAGGCGAAATAAACAAAAAGGAGAGACAGTATTTTCTAAAAGTAAACTTTATTGGTAAGAAAATGTAACAGATACATTTTATTTTTCGAAAATTAAAATTTCTAGACAGTTTGTAAAACAAACTTGGTCGATAGGATTCGATCTGCACTAAGAAGCACCTGACATGCATCACATCGATCGTCACCCAGTAATCAATCAATTGTTAATACATCGTAGTCCTACAAGAGGTCAGTTGCGGCCCGGATAGCTCAGTGATAAAGTCTCTAACTATGAAGCTGGGTGACATAAGATCGAATCCGTCAAGCATCATGCTGATGAGTGCCAAATAGCACAAAAATTAGGTTCAGGGTTTCCTGTTGACTACATCCAACCATCATCGTAAAACAAACGGTTATATATTCTTACCATGATGATTTGTAATAGATCCTAAGTGTTTATCTCAGTTGAGAATAGTTTATTAAGATGAACGTAACAAGAAAATTTTCCGACTAAATAGTTGAAAAGATGTAAGATTGTGAGAGCATTCTGGAACTGGTGAAAACGCATTAAACATATCATTTAAATTTAAGGTTATTTGAACTAAACGGTATAAAAAGTGTAACATATAAGTACTTCAGAAAGTAAATTTGAAATATTTTAACAATATGCACTAATCACAAAACAAAAAGTTCAATTCATAATGTTCAGACTTTAGAAATAATGCCATTTAATGTTTGGGTTGTGATCTACTGGCCTATATATCTTGCTTGCAACAATATTTGATAACTAACAAATGTCATCTACTCCATGTAAGGCTACAGACTCAAGTCATCAAAAAGAGAACTTAAATACTACAAAGTAGCTGTATAGTTTACTGTGATCATTATTGATGCTCAAATTATCATCCATTTCTGATGTAAATCACTGTCTCTACAAAACGGTCTTATGAGAGGTCAATTACAGGTTCATTTTAGGTTTTCGTTTTTTCCAAGTTATCACCAAAGTGAGAATCTTCAATACGAACGTCAAGACAGTTCTACTGTATGGAGTTGAAACTATGATAAATACTACAACCACCATCAAAAAGGTACAAGTATTTCTAAGCAGTTGCATACACAAGATACTGAATGTCCGTTGACCGGATAAAGTGGACACAACACACATCACAAAAGTCATCAAACTTTATCGCGAGGTAAGCCCTAATTTGGAATCCAGAAGGGGAAAAAGGATGAGGAAGACCGAGAATTGAAAGCAGACATCAAAAGGATGAGTAGCCACTGTAAAGAATTGGAAAGTATTTTCCAGGACAGAATTTGATGAACAATGCTGATAGTTGGTCCATGCTATTCAAAGAGGGATAACAGGCGTAAGTAAGTACTTGTTTTCGATTTCTTATTTGTTCAAGAACTTCGGTTAAGTCTATTATAATTACCAAATTTACACATTTCACAAAGAATAGACATTGTTTTTTATAAAATGTTTTAGATAGCTGAAGCTATTTTTATCAATTTACATGCATTCTCAAGTAACCTTTCACTCTGAAAAAAAATTCTATGGAATTTATTACGTCACTGTTAATCTACTAAATATCAACTAATTGTGGTTAAAAGAGGTCAACACATTAAATATAGCTTTAAGAGACTGTTGGTTACCAATAACAGCTAAATTCACATTAAGTTATGATAAGAGACTGAATAAGCCCAATATTGCGATTTCTGCTTCATTGTTTTTTCTGTGAGAAACCTTCGTAATGCTTATCCTCAATCATTTGCTTGTTAAATGGCATCTAACCTAGTTCGTTATGTATCTGATAATTAATGTGTATTTTGTTTTTGTACTTAATATATTTGAGTGACTATGTCAAAAATTTCATCTCCTGAGTACTTGTCATCCAACCACTTAATATTGTTGAACATCATCTATTGAATGAAATTCCATTTATTTCCCCATAACATCCCTAACCTATGATATAATCAGTTCAAGTTGTTATATATATGATTGTACAGTTTTGAAAAGGTACACCTAGAAAGGGATTTCCGCTGTAATAAATAACACTGCATTATGACTTCGGGAATATGTCTAAATTAAAATGAATCCTTATTTTTTCCTAAGAACATTTCAACGAAATTATTCAATTTTTTCAGGGCCATTTTATTTTCAATACTTGTATTTACATATAATAACTGAATTCATGAGTCAATTGAAGCTAGACCACCATGGAAAACCTGGAAGTACTGTATTCAAATATCTTTCATTTAAAAAAAACATCCTGAATGTTTACTACTCACTTAGTTACTGTACTGAATATTTTTTATATTGTAAAGAAATGGATACTATTCACTGAAATATTTATTTAAATTAAAAAATTAACCTCCAGAAAGTTACCTTTACTCACACATCTTTGTATTGTTATTATTATTTTTTAAAATATTGGTTTAAGATCATTAATAGTCTCCTGAATACACGACTCACTGACTTAGCATCCACCACACTTTATTGTTTCTTACTAATTTCATATAAAACTTTTATCATCATGTAGATTTGTGGACATTGTAGTATTTTAGCAGTTACATTCACGATCCAATCAATCCTAGATCACCACCGGCAAACCTTGAAGCATTGGGAGACCGTTTCGTCCTAATGTTGGACTCCTTAACAGGTTGGCATGAATCGATTGGAGTTAGACATTAATACCGTTGAATGCCGGTCCAGTGGTCTACCGGCCAAAAGTCCCTTGTTCTAGTCCCACATGCGGGATCGTGGATGTGCGCTGATAAGGAATCCTATACTTGTATGAAACAGCCATCCAGTGATTTCGCGTTTTCAATGGGGGTTTAGCTTAGACTGACTCGTGAATTCAACTAATAAAAGTTCTAATAAATATAGTTTACCAATAAACATTTGATCAAATTTGTAATTGCAGTGTTATTTCTCAAACTTCATCTGACACACATTTATTCTGATCATGAAGCCTATAATTCCACTTGAAGTATAAGTTGATTTAAGTCAAATTTAAAAAATTTAAAATCAAAATTTACATATTTCATATTTAAACAGTTATGTTCAATCCTCAGAACAGGAATCAAAATGTTTCATTTCAGTGCTACAATGCAGAGACAACTGTTTTCAATATATAACACTCTGTAGTTATACTAAACTAATTTTTATCAAACTACAAGAATAATTTGTAGGTGTCATTACCAAGGTTTGATTTGATAATTTCGAATAAATTGAGCATTGGGTTGATTGTTATAAATAAAAATAATATATTTGTAATATCCCAATGAGTAGAAAATTGGATTTTCTGACGTTTCGTGGCTTAGTGTAAGTCACTTCTTCAGAGAATAAATAACCAAATTTATTCTCTGAAGAAGTGACTTACACTAAGCCACGAAACGTCAGAAAATCCAATTTTCTACTCATTGGGATATTACAAATATATTATTTTTATTTACAAGAATAATTATATTGATATAAGAAGACAATAGCCAGGAGGAAGGTGTATTTATTGCAAGAAGTTATAAATTATTTACATAACACACATACATAACCTTCAATCGTCCATTTGTATCTTCCGATATGTTCTGTAATCAGAAATGTCTTCTAAACTGGCCTACAAGTGTTCTGTCATCAACGTACTTTCGATGCACTGAAACTTCTGACTCTATCTGACAAATTTCGCAACTTTGATGTCACGTTCTACTATCCACTACTTACAAACAGCTTTATGAGTAACATCCACTACAATGACAATCTGTTCCTTCATTGATAAAATGATCCAAATGAACTCTTATTATTGTGATATGACTAAAAAAGGTTTCGATATTTCTTTGAGCGAGTTATGTGGATTTCATTATGACTTCACTCTTCATCATCATAATTTTATCTTCTTTCTTATTAATGAGTGAGTTTTGCTTCTTTATTTTTTATATGTGTATATATATTGATTGAGATCATGAACTGATTGATGTTGGACCCCTAAACTGATAATTACCATGTGCTCACTAGTGACTAGCTTCGGAGTTCTGGTGAGAAGCCGTGACTAGTGGAGCTATTCTATGTCGGGTAGAAACAGGTGTCTACCTCAGTACAATGGAAGATGGTGGCGCAATTTCGTGGCATGGTTGAGGTTAGACATTAACACCATTGGCTGCCAGCTGAGTGGTCCAGTGGTTAAGCATTCGCGCGCGGGACTGAGGGCCCTAAGTTCGAGTCCCGCGAGCGGGATCGTGGATGCGCACAGCTGAGGAGTCCCATAATAGGAAGAAACGGCCGTCCAGTGCTTCCACATTTTCAATGGTGGTCTAACATCAATCAGTTCATGATCTCGATCAAAAACTTAACAATCTCCACAATTCCTAAACTGACATATATATATATTATTATCAGAAGGAGTTTTGTGGAGATTTTCGTTATTTCAATAACTGAAATCATTATTCAGTTGAAGCTAGACCACCATGGAAAACCTGGAAGCATTCGACGGCCGTTTCGTCCTGGTCTGAGACTCTTCTACAGTGCACATCCACGATCCCGCTTCCCGCAAGATTCGAACCCAGGACCTATCAGTCTCTCACGTGAGTGTTTAAACTTTCGACTCATGATTTCAACTATTGATATATATATATATATATATATATATATATATATATATATATATATATATATATATATATATTACTTTAATAATACTAATTGAATGACCAGTTAATTAAAATATGGATTTTGACCCAATTTAAATCTTCTTCATCAGTTCCATAGAAAGAAATAAATAAATATTTGTGTATTGATTTAAGTGACCGATAAATCATGTTTCTATCAGTTACCTATCTTTACTGCTGTCAAAAAGAAATCTAACAATCAAATTAATATTAATGACCTGAAGATTTAATAAAATAGTGAATTTTAAGAAAATTGAGTTTAGTTGTATATTTATGAAGGGGAAATGTTCGTGAATAAATAAATAAAATGAATGTACTGAATTTGAACAGAATGTTAAGATTTAATAATATAATTACATTTTATATGGTTGTGTATTTTCCGATTCATCATGTTTAGAATCAGAGAGAAGTACATGTGGATATTATAGTAATTTAATAGTTGAATTCATGAGTCACTCGAAATTGAACTAACATGGAGAACTTGGAAGCAATGGATGGACATTTCGTCCTTTTGTGGGACTCCTCAGCAGTGCGCATTCACGATATTGCCTCGCAAGATTCGAATCCAAGACGTATTAGTCTCACGCGCGATCACGTTACCTTTGGACCACTAGGCTGACATCCAACTGTATTAGTGTTCAGGGCTTCCAGGCTTTTCATAGTGGTCTAGCTCATGAATTCAACTGTTTAATTAATAATGTTTATGTTTGAATGTGACCAGTTTTTAAAAACACCTTGAAAGGATACATCCACCTCTTATATATAAGATATATCCCTATATTGATATTTCATTTGTTATAGATATATAACAAATTTGCATAAAATCACAATATAACTTAGACTAAACAATGAAATCATACGTGTTGTCGAATTTTAAAAAATAACCCTATAATATCCAGATTTATTCTTTTTGACTAAATGATATTTTGTGTACGATATAAAAAATCAATGACAGTTGGTTTCAGCAAGAATAAATATGGAGAGGTTAAAACTATTTCTTTAAGAAATCGAGTCCAACAATAATATACCCTTGTGTGCCAGGGTAATTTTACTTTGGTTTTCAGGAGAACCAGACACCATCCTGGCTTTCACGTGACAACATAAACAGTACAGCTCAACCCCGTTTAACAGGAGTGCCAGACACCACCCGGGCTTACATTTTATAAATCGAGCAGTACAGAACCAGACACCGTATAGGCTTTAACTCTACAGTTTGAATAGTACAGCTCAATCCTGTGGTGCAACCACACAGGTACCAACCACCCTGATGGACCAGAGTCCAACAATACTGACAACTTATCGAAATGGCTTTGGTTTGCATAAGCATTAAGTGATAAACTTGACATGAGTTATTCAATTCCTTTACAAGAATCATCTTCAATGTATGTTTTTTTTATTACCAGAAGTACGTAATGGATTTCACTTAAGTTTATGAAAAAGGAATAAATTAGATTAGTGGAAATTATATCGTAATGAACAAACTTATAATCCTGTGTAAAACCTCTAATCAAGACTATTCCATTATTTAAATCATATTTGACGGATTATGTAATCACTTTGCTTTTAGTAAATTAAAAACACAACTAAACTTAACAAGTCTATAGGGATCTTTTTAAATATTGAATGGAATTTCATATACGTGAATATCAACATACATTATCAACTTCTATTCTAAACATTAAAGAAAATATAAACTAATGCAATTATTGTCATTAATTTACAAACATACTAAGGAACAAAAATGAGTAGTTGTTATATCCCGATAAGCTAAACCACCATGGAAAACCTTGAAGTACTGGAAGGCCGTTCCGTCCTAAACTATTCATGTTCATGTCCTTTTTATTATGAACTTTATTTCGATCTGTGAACCAGTATTATACGATTTACCATTCTTGAATGATGCCCTATCTATTAATCATTACCTCCTTCATTCAGAGCCACATTTGTCCAAATCTTGTATAAATTTTGTTTCATATTTTATTGGTACGTTGTGGTCTGTTTGGTTGGTACATAAACCCAGAATTTTTGAAATAAATGATTAATATTGCAGAGGCTGAGATTGGTGTTCTGGACTTAACTGGTTTAGCTAGGCAGGAAGCAGGACCAATAAGGAATTTAGATTGCTCGTACGGGTTTTATGCTTCATTGATCCGGTCGATAATTCACTGCTCTCTAATTGGCGGTATCGTTACATTATCCATCAACAGGGCACTCAGTCCACAAGTTATAACAGTAGTAAAACAAATACAAATGATAAACAAACTTGTCGAATGAAATATAATCACATTTTACCTGAGTACTTCAAGTACACCATCGGCAATAATAAACATTTCACGTGCTATTTCACCTTTACGACAAATTAAATCACCAGGTGTTAAAACTAGTGGACGCATTTTCAAAACAATATCATGTAAAAACTCTGGTCGACATTCATGAAATATTGTCACCTTGTAATAGAACATATTTTCAAAAATACAAAAAAATAACAATTAAATATGTAGTTATGAAGGGAAAAATCATTTCATAATATTTATAAACAGAAAAATGTACAAAAGAAATATTTTTAAACAAGCCTTTAATTTTAGACGTTGGACTCATGAACCGATTTAAGCTAGACCACCATTGAATGCCTAGAAGCATTGGACGGCCATCTCGTCCTAGTATGGGACTCCTTACCCGTGCATATTAACGATCCCCAAATGTGGGACTGGGACCCGAGACTTTCGGTCTCGTACATCAACTCTTAACTTCTAGACCACTGAACCAGCATCAAACAGTATTAATGTCTAACTTTAATCAATCTATGACCTTGCGCAAACCTTCATTCATTGTCTGAAGCTGATAACTGTCTCCACTGGTAATGGTTTCTCATTAGAACTCCAGGAAATCCATCTTGAGACGAAATGGTCATCCAATGCTTCCAGGTTTTTAATGGTTGTCTAGTTTAGAATAACTCGTGAATGCAACTTTTAAAATACTGTAATCTCCACAAATCCTGATTCTGACAAGTTTATAAGTAAGTAATTCGACAGCTAAAACGTTATCATTAGCAGCGATAAAAAAACAGTAAAAGTACCATCAAAACGAAATAATTATTTGTGACAGGAATCAAATTTCAAGCAAAGATTCTAGTCATATTGAGAATATAAAGCTGTAAAACGTTAAATACCATAATCACTTACGTAACAATTCACTTGTGATTTATATTATTGATGAGGCCTACTAAACTCACACTTTCAGTACTCGTTATTTAATTACCGTGGACTACTTTATAACTTTAAATTTGGTTAGAAACTTTGAAAGAACTTTTTTCCGGTTTATCACTCAGGTTTGATATTACTTCAAAGAATAAAGGACGTAAAAATATGTATTTATGAATATTTATGAAATAATGTACATTTTGTAATGATCCAATTAAACATGGTAATTATAAATCTTGATAATCTAATGAATTTCTAATGTGTTCTTTTCAATAAAAACACTGCTGAAGAGTTCCACAGTAGAATGAAACGGCCGTTCAGTGCTTCAAGGTTTTCCATGGTGATTCAGCTTCAATTGACTCATGATCTCAACTATAAAGTTTAAGAAGCTGCAAAGAAATACACACCGGAGAACTATATGGAGTATGATTCATATTAATTATAACTGTTTTCTTCTATTAGGCTATAATAAGGAATTATGCAAACTTTTTTAGACTATACTCATAACTTTAAACCAATGAAGGACTAGAAGAATAGTAATTGAAAACAAACTTGTCCTTGAAACAAATAAAAGTCTACAAATCCATATTTCTTGGTGCTTCCAGATGTAATTATCAATTTACTTGTATGTGACGAAGTACATACATTGAAAGAAAGGAGAGAAGCGTACATATTGATATTCTCGAATATTTCCAGAAGAATAAAAGACTAGGAGATGAATTTACTCTAAATTATGCAACATTTCTCCATTTATTTTATATTTCGTTTATTAGTGATTGTTATCATTTCTCCATAATCATTGACAGACAGAATAACTCGTCTTTTCCTCGATTCACTGAAGAAGTAGCGAATAAAATGCTTTGTGTGAAGGCCCGTTATTTAATTTTGTCCTCATTTAGATCGAACGATGTTGTCGAAAGGGCTCTCCACTTTAGTCGCCCGAGATCTGACTCCAATGTTTGATATCGCCTATCCTCGTATATAATCATCGACTTAAATCGCGTTAGTCAATAACGGAATTAAACAAGTCGAATACCGAGAATGAACTTGTGAATACATATATTTTGTATATGAAGTGAATGGAATAGAGAGAAGAGAAACGACTCGCAGTGGAGATGGCTGGTAAGCCACTAACTCCCATTTAGCCAAGCGTTAATCAATATTTATAGTTACACAAAAGTAAGTTACAGACACGTGATGAGTAATGGGATAAGAAATGTACACACACCTACGCACTCATATAAAAACAGTGAAGATTGATAAGCGAATTAATATCAAGGTCAGGATGTGACTCAAGTTGAATGGGCTGTCCGAAAGCTAGAATAAGGTATATGGACTTAACATAATAACCGACACTACATCCTCAAACCAGATGTATGTATTCAGAAAGAGACAGTTATCAGTTATTCATAACCTTGGTAAATTAACATTCTTATTAAAGGTCAATTGTAATAATTTTTATTATTGTTACCATGTTGTTTACTTTGTTATAAAATCTCTGCTAATTTAAAACAGTTAATCCGTTTCATAAATTTGGATAATACTATGAGAAAACGAAAGTCATCAGAATTATGTGCATTACATTTCGAACAATCTGATCACACATATATTTGTTAAGACATTAGATCTGAAAAAAGGTCAACTTGACAAACTAGAAGGTAAGCGGAAATAAAGATGATAACAACAAGGTACATAAAAACAATATGAAGACCACATTGTATAGTAAATCAATGTTTCCTGGGTGGGTTAAGGGTAAGAACAAATTGTTTTTTAACACATAAAAGAAGTTTCAGTTCTCATATAGTCAATGCTCCGATAAACAATACTAGACAGCCTATAAAACGTTTATACAAAACTACGAAGGCTGACTTGATATCAATCTTATGACAAGGCTCAACCAAATATTTCTCAGTGGTCGAATATATTTGTCTACGCTGTGATCTTATTTGACCGTTGGAATTCATTTGTTTTTGTAGCCATTAAGGATAGTTCTCAGCCAACCTTGCAGCTCGCTATTGCTCCTTCTTATATACGTGTTTTCGCACATACAAGTAAATCAGTAGACGCAATGGGATGTGACACAATCACTTACATGCTGCTTCGGTTTTTGGCGACACATACACCTTGACGTTTCGATAATAACGAGTTGGTCTGCATAAAATATCTCATTGATAGCTAGTCTTGTTTCAACATGAGTCTATTTCAATTGCCTTTAAGGTATTATAGAATCCTGCCAAAAACGTCATAGGTTGTATCTTATTATTACGCTTCCAGCAGCATATAAACTCCAGTGAATAACCGTTATTCAGAAATGTTTCACTTAACAGCTTCATATCTCCCTCCATAGTAACGCTAGTACAAAAACGACTTATCCTATTGAATAAACCCTATATTGTCCCACATCGTACTGCATTGGACAGTAACTACGGAAATTAAGGTATTGCTCTGTTCATGTCTGATTTTTATATGCATTTCTAAATACTTTTGATAGAGCCATAGACTATTCTACTAATCAGTATGTCTAGTAAAGGGAGCTTGTTCAGTAAAAGAAATATGCGTTTGACTTGCGTTGAGTTCTTATGACAAATGGTTCACATCTTCACGGTTATTAAAAGTGATTACGATTTCGTTCACGCAACGCTTATACAGACACGTCTTTTGAAATGAGTCTTCATCTAGATTTTCTACAGATCACATAAACGCATAAGCAAGCAACGATCCTAAAGAGCTATCTATAGCTATCTTATCAATCTGTCCGACATTCTCATCTTCAAAAGCGAATTTCACATAGTCAGTACACAGTACCAATAAATCTTGAAGAGTTTTTAAATGAAATAGCAATGGGAGGCTATTCAATCAGGTATAGTCACAAAAAATATGTAAGTAAAGTGTTTACATCGAAGGACCATATTACCATAATTTTTATATTAATCCCCATTAGATAATTATTAATTTAAATGAGTCTTTCAAAGCATACTTACAAAGTCGGTTTCAATTTAGGTCTAATACATTTGTCAACCATTTTGCAAAATTATATGTAGGTGACCGACACATTGATATAATTAAACGTAAAAGTGTATTGGGCTTATGAATTTTCGGTAGTCCATTAAATTAGGATATATCGAAGCCATAGGTATTAATCAATTAGACTCACCTTTGTTAATAACATTCAATGTTAAGTTATTTCATTAGGTTAGAGTTGGCTTTCCTCAATAATTTACGTAATCTATCAGAATCAACATTGGCCATAAATTTGCTTTAATCACTGAAAATAGATTTCATTTTATTTTTGTAATTGGATTTATTCACAACAATAACACCAGACCCTTTATTGGATTTAACCATAGTATGATCAGCATTATTTTGCAATTTTTCTATTGAGAAGTTAATCTGCTTACTCGTAACTGATCCTGGTAATACTGATTTACTATCCAATGTGTTTTTCACATTGGATGCTGGTCGGTAGCCTATGCTCCATTGGGAGTAACAGGCGTAAGTAAGTAAGTAAACAAGTGGTTTTCACATTGTGTTTATGTATTTTATTTTTATCATCTTTGTTTCTGCTTAATTTTTAATGTGTCTAGTTCACCTTTTATTTTTCAGATCTAATATCTTAACAAATACATATGTTATCAGATTGTTCGAAATGTGATGTGTAAATATATTGCATAATTTCGATAACATGCGGTTTCTCATCGAATCATCCAAATTTTCGCAAAGCCAATTATTATTCCACCTACCCTGGAATGACTGATTCATTCATTAGTACCTCTTACTTGCGAAATTATTATACAAACTCTTCATTTTAACAATTAATATGTAGCCCGTGTCATCAACTTCCCCTTCTAGATAACTGACACCTCTTTGCTTTATGTTTTCTATATCAATTTTTAGATGACCTTAAATCTATGTGAGCTTTTCATATCTTCTTTAATGACTGCCAGTTTCCGGACTCCATAAAATAACTACCTCAGTCACCCTATGTTTTAAAGTTCATCTTGCAATAATCTCACATAAGCTTGTTCATATATGTAAGCACCGCTACTCCAGTTCTCCCCGTCACTATTGTCTACTATTTTATTTTATATTATATGCCAACATTATTCTTTAAGACGAATACAGTTGTTGGGAGGTGAAAAGAATCCACGAAATTTAATAAATTAATATTATTTTGTCTCAACTGTTATTTTGACTCCATTCTAATTAATAAAATCCATTAGGTCAATGACCTATTGTGATAGTTGGGACATTGTCTATCATTGGACATTAGGTAAGATTATGGATAATTTTCATCATTTAAATGTTTTGACTTTACAACTTGAAGTAAATTGGGAAAAAAACTATACTTCTTTTATATAATCAAATCCATCCACAAGTAAGATCAAATACTAGCTGTATTTTAAGATTGAAGAGAAAATTTAGTCAATACTATAAAGCAAACCATAAGACATTAGTCATTATCATGTGACAATGTAACACAATCATTCTAGTTTGGTGCCATCACTTAAACCTAACAATAACACGTAAGTTTTCGTCACCTAGTGTCAAGCTGTACAACTCTAACGTAAACAATGTGCTTTGATGTTATACAATAGTGGCTAGCAGTGAAATCCAGGATGCGTGGATAACGCAATGGCGTTTGAAGCGAACAGTATTGAGTTCGAGTCCCGAAGTGAACATCAACTCTGTGATACAGGTACATCCAGCTGACGAGTCCCGAATAGGACGAAACACGAGTCCTGGATTCCACTGCTAGCCACTATCCATCATTGCTTATGATGCTTTTTTGTTGATATTTTATTATCTTGATTAAATAATTTAGTAAGTTTTAACTTTGTAACTACTAACAGTTTTATATTTAATGGTTGAATTCATGAGTCAATTGAAGCTAGATCACGATTGAAAACTTGAAAGCACTGGATGGCCGTTTCGTCCTAATTTGGAAATCCTCACCAGTGCGCATGCATGATCCCGCCTCGCGAGATTTGGACCAAGGGCTTATCAGTCTCACGCATGAGTGCTTAACCTCTAAACAACTGAGTTGTACCATGGAATATCTGGAAGCACTTAAATCTATTCTAACAAAATTTGATTAAAGTTAATATAATCAAATCTGTCAGTAAGTTAAAGTATTTTGTTTACATGGAAAATGTTAATAATTTTTTTGGTTGTTTATTACTAGTAGTAACGATGAGTAGAAATAAAAATAACTTAACTTGAAATTTAATAGGAATAATTGTATGAAGTAGATTTAATCATTTGTAGCCTTATCATACTATTTGTTGCACAAATTTTCAATAGAGAAATAGTTATTTCAGTATAATTACAATTATGTAATAATAAATTTTGTCACTCAATTTTGTATTCTAAGTGGTTTTATTGTCATGATATTATGTGAAATCTATTTCTTTTGTAACTTGTGAATTGCTTTTTTATAAAAGTTTTCTCAGCATCCTTTAGGTAATGTTTTAGGAAAATAAACTTAACAGATAGGATTTTACTAGGGTTGAAACTATCACGAGTTCACTTAATCGGCGAACGAGAACAAAGACTCGGTGACCAAAGACTAGTAAGCTAGCTATTGATGTGTCCAAGCCCCGCTAACTAGAGGGAGAATTCCAAGCTTGGAATATGGAAGTATATTCTGCAAATAGCCAGAAACGAGCGATAACAACAAACGCAATTCAAAACGTATATATATACAGTACAAAACCGTCCTTGGGGACAGTTACTAAACAGCATACTAAAAGACACAACGGACCATTAGTACTTGATTTCTTGATGAAATGAATCCTACATTTTTACATTTTTATCTGAAATCGATAAAATCTAGAAATTTCTACAAGATTGGTTCATTACTTTTTGGTATTGTTCAGTAATGCAAACTATTGATCGTAAAGCAAATTAAAAAAAACACGAACTTCAGTGATCTATGGAACCACTCCTTTATTCAGTTATTGAGACGATAACCAATTGTACACATTGTTCAATCTCAAACACTTGGCGATTACAGTGGTATTACTATTTAATGTTATTGGTAGATAACTACACAAACAAAGTTGTACCTTCAGTTAAAAGTAGTCTAAAATGAGAGGACATCATTATATACTACTAGCTTTTCAATAATTTTATGGTTGATGTCTAAACATCATGAGAATATAAATATTTATCAAATTATTGAATTCCATTTAAAATAATAAGAAAGTAATGAAAAGGAAAAAAATGAAATCTAATTAACGCCATAAAATAAATTACCTTTTTTAATGTTTCCAAATTTACATTGAGTGCAAGTTCTGTTTTTAATTTATCTGGTAACATTCCCAATGAATTAATATCTTGACCGCCTCGTCCACTACCTCTGATAAATCAAAAGTTATAATGTATATGTAACAGTTAACAGTAATAGGATTTTATGAACTTATAAGGATTTGATACATAGTTTCAAGTATGTTCCATTTCATTCTAGGACTATTTTGTGACACATAGATATATATGACCAGATTTTTTCAGTAGTTGGTGATTCAGTAACTAAGTGAAATGTTAAAGACACTTGATTGAGTATTACAGTATACTGGAGCACTTAAGTTGAATAAATGGTTTAACGAATCAGAAAATGGTGTTTACGTATATTACTTACTTACTTACTTACGCCTGTTACTCCTAATGGAGCATAGGCCGCTGACCAGCATTCTCCAACTCACGCTGTCCTCATGTCTATCTCCATTTCCCGGCGTAATGTGTTCTTTGGTCTTCCTCTTTTCCTTTGTTTAGCTTTGAGGGTTTCATGTGAAAGCTTGTCTTGTGACTCAGTTGGGTGCTTTCCTCAATGTGTGTCCTATCCACTTCCAGCTCTTCTTCCTGATTTTGTCCTCCGCTGGGATCTGGTTTGTTCTCTCCCACAGTACGTTGTAGCTAACAGTGTCCGGCCAACGAATCCGAAGTATTTTGCATAGACAACTGTTAATAAACACCTATATTTTCTGGATGATGGCTTTCGTAGTTCTCCAGGTTTCCGCCCCATACAGTAGAACTGTCTTGACATTTGTATTGAAAATCCTGACCTTGGTTTTGGTTGACAGTTGTTTTGAGTTCCAGATGTCCTTCAATTGTAAATATGCTGCTCTTGCTTTGCCGATCCGCGCCTTCACATCTGCATCAGATCCACCCTGTTCACCAATGATGCCCAAATATGTAAAGGTTTTTACATCTTCCAAATCTTCTCCGTCAATTGTAATTGGATTGGTGCATGCTGTGTTGTATCGGAGAATCTTGCTTTTCCCTTTGTGTATGTTGAGACCTACTGCTGCTGAGGCTGCTGCCACACTGTTTGTCTTCTGCATTTGTTGTTGCGTTTGGGATAGAAGGGCCAGATCATCTGCGAAGTCCAGATCGTCCAACTGCATTCTAGATGTCCATTGTATCCCGTGCTTCCCTTTAGATGTTGACGTTTTCATGATCCAGTCGATCAACAGGAAAAATAGAAAGGGTGAGAGTAAGCAAACTTGCCTGATACCGGTCTTCACTTCGAACGACTTTGTCAACTGCCCTCCATGCACGATTTTGCAGTTTAATCCATCATATGAGTTCTGTATGATATTGACTATCTTCTGAGACACGCTGTGGTGTCGAAGAAGTTTCCATAATGTTGTTCTGTCCACGCTATCAAACGCCTTTTCGTAGTCAATGAAGTTGATGTAGAGTGAGTTTACGTATATTGCAACTTAAAAAATATTACAATAAACATTCAGTTTTTTACATTAATAGTAAATATCTTATATTGTGATTTGATTCACTTGTTGTAAATCGAATAAAACTGAAGTAAAGAAAGCTATCCATATGGCCAAAGCATATTCACCCTTGATAGTCTTTTTAAAGCCTTAAATATTGTTTTCTCATACTGCTTCGGCACTGTATAGTGGACTATATTTGAAGTCTTGACTCATAACTAGTCAATAACAATGTCGTTTGCATAGATCAATAGCGTCTAAAACATAGCTAAAAAATCTTCAAAAAATTAAGTTTATGCTTCGGATAAGTCAAAATACACGGAGGAACGTGATAAACATTAGAGATAGCCTTGATTATGCTCTAATTCACATGTAGTACACTCCTCGTGTTGATTTCATTTCACATAAAATCTACATCAGGAGTAGAAAGCATCCCTTGTAACTTAACTTTTATACCATGTCTTTGTGATTGCACAACAGACATATGTTTTTCAATTATGTGCCTTAATAACAAAATAAGGGTCAATTTTATCACGCTTATCGCAAGGTAAAAACCAGCTTTCCTCTCGTTTAGAATTTTTCACAAAAAGAAAAGAGTAGTTATCTTAAATTTGATTTGTTTGAGGCTGTAGTATGTTTTATTCCAATTCATAAACCTCAATCTATGAAGCTTATGTTCGGGTTCTATCCATGTTTACATTACTACCATTATCCTTACGTATATTGATATCAGCCAGAAGACTACAACTATATCAACTAACTTTGATTAGACAACAGATTACAATTTTTTTCAAATTTCAACAAACTCACTTTGACCAAGCATAATCATACCAGCGAAGAATTCGATTCTGAAGATCTTTATTCACTGAATTTTCACGCATATAACTTTTAGCATTATCCTATATACAGAATGGGAATAGTTTATCAATTTGAAATTGAAACTAAGGTAAGTAACATCAAACCATATCCTTATAAATAAATGATACCTGTTTGACTGAGCAACATTATTTTATGTACGATGAGATATTGATTATTGTAGAAAGGCACAAAATTGAACACTAAGGGTTAATGAGAGACTACTTATTGATTGGATCGTATTCCATCTATAAAAGATGCGTTAATACCAATAAAATTGTACAGATTTTTTTTTCAAATGGTTTATCTAAATGATTATTAGAGAGTGGAAACCGACAGTTCAGTGTTTCTATGCTACTAACATGAATATCTTGACTAAGGTTCCAAAATTTTCGGGTTTTGCTTCCAAAAAACGCATATATTCAATCTTGAAGAAAGCTGTTTTTTTAAAAAAAAATTAGATTCAGAAGTGTCTCATTTATTATCACAATAAGTGATGTTAATGTGGTGTGTGCTACTTATATTGACATAAGTAGTATATGATGTTAGTCGTAAACAGATAGTCTGGTAGCAGAGAGACAAGAGGATCGAACATTAAAGAATGGAAACAGGATGCAATTTGTATGAAAATGCAAGAACAATGAAATCTGAGTCATTGTGAGACAATCGATGGATATTTTGCAAATTAAGTATTTACTTTATGATTGTTAGATTTTATTAACAGGCACTGTAATTTTGTGTTAAATATATTCGATTATTTATTATTATTATTGTTTAATGGCTTTATTCCATGTATATATTGTCCCCACGGGTGTTCTGCTCTCTACATTTGTAATCGCCTCCAATCAGGAGAGGGGAAGGGTGTTGTCCCGCGGATGACGTTGAAGGCCTGGAGCTGGGGTACTAGTTGGGGCAGTCTGGTGCAGAGAGGTGGGTCGAGTAGAGTGTTTTGGCGAGGTGGCGTTAGATTACCAGTAAATTATTCAAGTCTTGAATAAATACGAGTTAAAAGAGCAATTTTTCATTTAAGTACATCAAAATCAACTAAGTAACACGTTTATATACGCTATAAGAACTGATGACAGATACTTTCTGACGTTTCTTAGATTTAAAATGTTTTCTTTATAATAATCCATACGAGACGTCCAAGTTACTGTCATTATTATCATTAATTATATTATCATTACTATTATCAGTGGCTTTATTCAGTGTAATACTTTTGGTACAATATAGAATTCTTAGCATAAAGTATTTCAACAAGTTTCCTTTTCTTATTTCTTAATCGACACTTGCAATAAATATTGATTAGTTACCAGTTAGATGTTAACATTTTAGGAATCAACAGTAATCATGATGTCTCTAATTGGACTGTTTTGTCACTTGTACAGTGAAATATCGTAAACTTTTCACAAACACACCTGAATTGATTATGAGATTAATAAGCATAATAATGTATTAAACCAAACAAGCAAAAAAATAACTTGTTGAATTATCCAAATGGCAGGAACAAGTAACCCAGATATTCAAATAGGCTATCTTATTGATTATTACATATAATTTCTGCTTTTAATTCACTTATAAACGTTATATCTATTTGCTACTTATGTATATTGAATAAAATATGAAATAAGAATGTAAGAAAACTTTTATGTTTAAACATAAATATCCCAAATTTTTCGGAAGTTTTTTCCCTTTTTTTACATAATTCTAAAGAAATACATAAATGAAACTTAAATAATTAAAAGACGATTATTAAATGTGAGCTTAAACTATAATGATATAGGTTGATAGTTGTGTAGTGAACATGGAAACCAGTGGGGACAATCGAATGTATTTAACACAAAATTACAGTGCCTGTTAATAAAATCTAACAATCATAAAGTAAATACTTAATTTGCAAAATGTCCATCGATTGTCTCACAATGACTCAGATTTCATTGTTCTTGCATTTTCATACAAATTGCATCCTGTTTCCATTCTTTAATGTTCGATTCTCTTGTCTCTCTGCTGCCAGACTATCTGTTTACGACTAACATCATATACTACTTATGTCAATATAAGTAGCACACACCACAGTTGAATAAACATTTGAATTGATATAATCATAAAAGATTTATCGACAATTTTTTATGATCTTAACAAGTTCAATTTCACTTTTGATTAGAAAATGTATTAAAATTGAGCTTCTTCATTTATTGGACATTTCTAGTGAAAATTATGAGACGCTAATCATTAAATATTTCAAGATTGTACTATTAAATAGTTCAAAATATTGAAGTCTTTAAAGCATATTTATGTAATCTATTGTTTCAATAGATTAATGTAATACCACATATATACATTTACAAATAAGGAGACTAGACAGGTTATAGACCTTTGATTGTTTTAATAAACAATTGACATACATTTGTATTGGTAAGGTAATTTTTGCTTATTTTATAATTAAAATTTTCTTATTAATAATAATTAGAGTCATCTCCTTTAAGTCTAATTAATCTCCAATTTTGATTAGAAATATTTTTTATTATAAAGTAAGCAATACCAAGTGAATTTAAAGCAAGCGGCTATCAGGAAATAGTAACTAAGTGGTTAACGTGATGGCATTTGAAGCGAAAGGTATTGGGGTTCGAGACCCAGAATGATTATCAACTCTGAGATGCTAATATATCCAGCTGATGAGTCCCAAATAGGACGAAGCCCGTGTCTTAGATTCCACTGCTAGCCGCTATATATCTTTGCTTATAAATCTTCCTCCCAAATCCTCCTGAAAAGAAGGTGAGGCATGCTTGGAGTTGCTTCTATGTGTGACTTCAAAGCTTCAGCTGGTATATTGTCAGGTCCTGCTGCTTTCCCACTGTTGACTTGTCTGGTGGTCATCGTGATTTGTTCTGTCGTTCGTGTAGTGACATCAATGGGAAGGAATGTGTACCACAACCAGCTAGTGGTGATCTGAAGCGATATCAACTCATTTACTGGTTCTCACATCCTCCATTATCCTCCTGATTTTTCTATTGAACTAAATTTGATCTATCTGGTTCTCCATGGTGTGATCAATCTCTTGAACAAAGTTTGTATGCAGTTGTTCAAGAGAGCAACATACTCACAGTACGAAAAAATGAAGAAAAATACCTGAATACCATCTTCCAAAAGAACGTCTACCCAATCAACTTCAAAAAATACCAGCCAAACGCATCATCAGAAACAAAGTTAAGTACAGAAAACAAAAAGCGAATCACCCTACCATACATAAAAGGCGTATCAGAAACCTCAGCGAGATTGTTGAAACCTTTCGGAATGGGTGTTACACACAAACCAACGAAATCACTACAATCAATCCTAAGAAAGTCAAAGGATGAAATGACAAAAGAAGAAAAATTGAATATCATCTACAAAATGAATTATGTCAACTACAGAAAACACTACATCGAACAAAGTGGATGCCTCCTTCATCTTCGCCTGCATGAATATCAGTTAACGATCAAACGCCGTGACATATTCTCACTTATATCAATGCACAACTGCGGACACACATTCGACTGGAAAAATGTGGAAATCTTGGATAGAGGCAATTCTAAAAACTCCGATAGAACAATGAGAAGACGGAATTGAACTGAAAAATGTGGTGTATTCGCGCTATAGATTTCGAACAATCTGGTCACATATATAATTGTCAGGGCATTTTCTGTGAAAACTAATAAAGATCAATTGAATGAACGTTCAAGTAAAAAAGTGGAGAGAAACAATTTTATATAGTATAGAAAGAATAGGAAATCATCGCATTATCCTAGAATGACTTAAGGATTACCAAGGTAAATTCAAGTTTACGACAAATTGTTTTTGTACACATAAGGGGGAATTCAATTTACAAATAGCCAAAGCTTCGATAAACTTGAGAAATCGTCTATGACAATTTCTATACAACGTTTTAAAAGCTGTATTAATGTCAATTTTCTGCCCCGTTTCAATTATATATTTCGTTATCGATGAATATGGATTTTTACCTGACATTTTGTTCGGATCATTTGACACTAGTTGGTTTTGAAGCCATCAAGGCACATGTTCAATGATCTTTGATTACATTGTTCGATTACTCCGCCCTATATATGTGTGTTTACACAAACATGTAAATTGGTGAATAAAATGGTGTGTGACGCAATCATTTGTGCATTGTCTAGGTCTATTTGGAATCATGGGCTTAAGCTTTTCAATCACAACCAATTAAGGAGCATAACAGGTTTTCTCGATGGCTGCTTCCAATCTCTGTCTTAAAACTATACTATTGAATTCACCTCTATACGGTAGATGGATATAAACATTTTTCTTCGGAACCGAATAAACACGACGGCGTTAGGTGTCTTTTGCACCTATTAATGAACTTTGGTGGATAACCATTTGATATTAATGTGTCAATCAGCAATTTTTCATCTTTTTCAACGATGTCAGCAGTGCAAATTCTTTTAGTCCTTTTGAAGAGACATTCAAACCTCGTTTGTATTGCAATGAACAGAAACTATGGAAATTTAAATATTGCCCCATCCAAGTTGGTTTCCTATAAACTGACCGGCTTATAGTACCATCCTCCCTTTGACACAAAAGTATGTCTAAAGTGGGCAATCAGTCATTATTTTCTACTTCAGAAGTTATCACGATATCGTTTTGAACCCCACTGAGTTTATCTAATAACCGGGAAACCATTTACGATACATTCCAACAGAGCTTTCTGTTAGTTGTTTGAATATATGTAACACTGGTAATGTATTCATTTATCATATTGTATCCAGTTATCGATTTAGTTCAAAATCTGTGGAATAGAATTAAGCTAATTTTATGTCGTGAAAGCATCAACTTGTACGAGCGTAAAATTATTAATACAAAAAACTTTAATGAACAACTTCCCATCACAATCCTCCTCTATGCCAAGTTGTGATATAATAACTTCATTAGGAGACAGACATTTAACATTATAAGTTGGTAGATGAGGCGAACAAATCACTTTTCATTTTGTATTACAGTGATGATTTCTATCAAATGCATCACCTCAATATCACTATAAGTCTAAAAAGAACGCATGTCTTTTGATTATGCTCTGATGTCTAAAAATCTGATTTTTAACAGACTGAAATACGAATAACTCCATGAAGTTATTGACTGTTAGTCCGATTCATGTTAGTAAATGCGGATTATATGTTGAGTGCTATTACGATTATTGTCATCAATGATTCAAGACGTTGGGTAGCGTATCTCAAAACTGGCTATAATTGGCTAAATACGTTCACTCTTGATCTTTTTAAAAATCCTCAGTTTCAAAGTTATTTTACAACTTTCATTCTGAAAACCAATCTTGTTTTCTCTAACCCGAATATTTATGTGGTTTTTCTAACTATCAATTATACCACCACTTCTACAGAAGTGATGTTCATTTTGATACTTTCATCTTGATGTATTAATGTGATGCATCAACACACACTCAAGATTCTATGTGGCTTGTGACAAACTGACCACTTTATTTGATTAGGAAAAGTTGAATTCAATAGCACATGTGAACAATACGTTTCAATCAATAGAAATGTTATAAAAACTATCAACTTTAAATGTAACCACATTTTTAGATATAAATAGAGATATATTCGTCATTTGTTATTAATCCAACACCAAGAAAGTCATGAGATTATGTGCTTTAAACACGTGTTTCTACTATAACACTTCTATTAGTGAACAGCTCGAAATGAATCTTATCACTAAACGATAAAATAGTACTCATGAAACCACTAAAACCAACGATTGTATGCCTGCCATTGTTTAAACATAAAAATGATTTTAGTTTTTTTTCAAGTGCCTTTAATCGTATGGGTCTATATTTGCTTTTATATGATGAGTAATGTTAGCCAACTATGTGACTATCAGATAGATTAACTGCCAATTTTTTGTATCCGTAATTTTCAGTAAACATTCACATAAATCAGTGATTGATCCATGTAATGAACACTAATCAGTTGCTAACCGATAATCAATAAGGTAAACGAGTTTCTATTGTTAAACAACATCCGTGAATAAGCTTATTTCAGGATGACCGACCGAAGCAAACATGATAGTAAGTAATATTTCATGAGTAGATCACTAAAACATATCATCTCGCTTATTGGCTATATTTTAATTTTCAGATCATTATTAATTAATCAATTAGATCGTCATCATGTATATTTGAGAAAAGCCTGATGACCATCTAATTGAAAACAATTGTTCACTTATATGTGTTGTTCTAATTAATTAATCAGTATTCTTAACGCTCTGTATTATACCACTTCTGTCCCAACTATATGATTGATATTAAATGATGAAGAGTACTACTGAAGAATCAAAACAGTATATTTGAAAGTCTGATCTATAATATAATATAACTTTAAGTAAATGGTCAAACCAACTTTGTTTACATAATCGTACCTGTCTACATATATCAAAATTCTCTAATCTAGGTCTTTTTTTTAGAAAACAATGAATTAAAACAAATCACAAGTTATAACAGTGAATCAGGTGATACATGACTTTATGTCTTGATAACGAAAACTAATCTAAACAAATCATTTCAATAATAGCATCAACGTTTTTCCATAGTTCCAGATCGATTTTTTTTTGGTTTGAAATACAAATGTTAACATTATATCATGGATACAGCATCTTCATTTGTTTATAATTGATGGCTGCGAAAATCATGAAGGATGATATGATAGATCTGATCAGTTTATTCTCTGAATATTTCCATTTCAGACATATCATTAACTTAAATTAGGCTATATGAAAGTAGCTGACAAGAAACTAACCGTTGGTCTGGTTTTACGCATAAAAGCTCTCAGGCATTTGGTCATTCAATTTTAATATTTCGCTAACATAAAAATATGATCATGTAGACGACTAGTAAGTTATCTAGGCCTCAAGTCATTTTTAACACGTACTATCAATGCAATAACTTATTACTGGAGTATTAAATGCAAAAGGTTCATTTATATTAATAGTGAACCGATTTTCAAGCTTCAGTTTCTTGCGCGGACAGTAACTGAATTGAAATAATGTCTCACCATATTTGATTCTAGTTGTTCGACAATTATAATCAGCAATGTCATAATAAGCGAACATGTTTTTCAGATCAATAATTTTTGTCATGAATACGGGAGATGTGTCATGTTATATATGATAATAATGGAAAAACAATCAATTAAGAACACAAATATAATTAAATTCACTTTTTATTGTTTCCTTGCATTTTCCCACTGTTGTGCGGACTGCTTAAATTTTGCCATAAGTCAGGACTAAGTAGCTAAGTGGATAACGCGATGGCGTTTGAAGCGAACGGTACTGGGTTTGAGTCCCGAAGTGAACACTAATTCTGAGATGCAGGTACATCCAGCTGATGAGTCCCAAATTGAACAAAAAGCTTGTCCTGGATTCTACTGCTAGCCAACATCCATCTTTGTTTATAACAACTGAATAATTACAGCTAATTATATCTCCCTCAATAGAACTTAATCAACATCCAGATTTTAATGGAAGCATAAAGATTGTTTTACCAGTGGTTGATTAACTTATAGTGACAAAAATTTACACAATTCTGCTCATTTTGCAAAAGAATCGTTGTAAAGAATTTCTTACTTATATGATGTTGATTGAAACTAAGAGACAACTGGAAGCAAGCAGAAGCATGTAACTTGGATCGAATTATTATTTTCTCAGAAACCAGCTTCCCTTTTTAGTTTGATAAATCGTTTTTATCCATGATAATCCGGTTTCAGTAATTTTTTTCACTGTGACCGTTAAATTTAATTAATGATCCATTCGAACGTATTTGCAATTTAAAGCAATTAGTCCCTTTGATAAATTTCGATAATGCGATGAGAACATACTTTTGATAATCTTCGTCTTCTTATTACAGTATTTGAGATTATTAGAAACGCTTAAAGTCGACCAACAGTTGGAAGAAAATTGGAATCCTATTCCTAACAATATCTGAATTCATTAGGATTTCATTTGGTTGATGGTGATGGGCAAGAATCTGTGAATCTAATGTAATGTCCACCGGTATACATCAACAATGCATAATATAGTAGAAATAATGTTTTCTATGGTATTTAGAATAATGTTGCCTACTGTCATAATCAATGATATGTTATAAGCCAGATAGCCCTAGCCTTATGTAAACGAATGAACGAAATTTTTCACACTTAGCTGTACCATGAAAATTGACAATTCATTTGGAGATGGAGGACAGAAATACCGTCGTCTACTCTTGCAGCAATATAAAGATCATGCTAAATGGCTATCACCAACAAGGTATATTTGGCTGATCAGTTACTTATTGTGAATATCAGTGTCTCGGAATCGTTTCGATCAACATAACGGCGCACACCCACATATTTTTATTCATTTTTTGAAATCCATATAATCCCAACTAATTCAATTTATTCTGGTCTACTTTCAGTTTTGTACCATCCAGAATTATCATGGCTTGATATCACAGTGAACTGCCAACTTTAACGCAATTGTTTCAAATAGCAATTTCACTCAGCTACATCCATACTTTTACATATCACAATTCGAACTTGTTTCACATACATTTTCAAACATAATTCAACATTCGGACATGATCAGACAAGTACTTAGTATAGAGTTGTCATTCTCACATTACTTATCATTCACTACTTTGATTCTGACTTCTTCCCATGTAAAAGCTCTAGTTCGTCGAACCGCAGTATTTGATTTCAGTCATCAACATGTTTAAAATTACAGTTTTATCTTTATCGATTACTTTCTATCTCCAAAACTGTTTCCTAATACTTTCTGGATGTTTGTTTTTTGAGCTCATAATAATAGTTCTCCTCAATACTGTAAACTTTCCTAATGTAATGAATTATCAGTTGTATTTGTATGATATTACAGCAAATGTCCGATTAAACCGTAGTTATCCAGAAACATATTCAATAAATGTTTTTAACAGTGGATATTTACCACTAACATTCAATCATCAAACTTTTCTTCCAGTTTGGTCAGTATAAAAGTTGTTTCCACCCATCATATATAAGATAAATGACTAACAGTATATTCCTTTTTTTGAATGAGTGACAAACAGGGAAAATATGCCAACAACTATTATTTCCGTTTGAGTTTTCTAGTATTTATCATCAGAATAATTTGCATGCATTTTATAAAAGAGCGTGATTAAATTCAGTTAACGTTCATAATTATTCAGTTCAAGTCATGTACGCAGTTAGTTAGGTGATCATAATAAATTTTGAAAAGATGAGGTTTTCAGTTTTGGGTTGTAGAGATTATTGAATTTCACTGAAATCAGAATCCTAGTGAAAAGCCGTGATCGTTGGAGTTAAACTGCACCGGATGTGTGGAAACTACCGACCGATAATAAAAGTTGGTGCCGTAACATTACGGATTAGTTGAAGTTACATATCAACATCGTTGACTGCTGGCTTAATGGTCTAGAAGTTAAGCGTTCACGTGAAAGAACGAAGGTTCTGTGTTTGAATCCTGCACACATGGTTGTGAATTCTCACTACTGAGGAGTCTCATACTGGAATGAAACAGTTGTTCAGTGGTCTAACATTGATTAGTTCATGATTTTAATGTAAATGAGATCTATTTAGTGGTAAAGATATAGTGTTTTGATGCCGTTTAGAGATCTAGCGTTGATATAAAGTACTACTCAAAACACTTTTCTATTTAAGCATTTTCAAAAGATGACTGGTTATGTTTTGTACTACAAATTTGAAAAAATTTTTTTCAAATCATCATTATCAAAGTTGGAGACAGCTAAGATTTGTTTTCATAAAATTATACCGTATACTAAAAATTGTATGGAGAGATGATAAAAATTCTTACACTCGGGCATCCTAAACGTCCTTATTATTAAAACGACTATAAAGACAAATAGAAAAATAGAAACTTACTAATATTTTTTCGAATTCAGTACGATGAGCATTTCTTGTGGTGATAATATTTCCAACTTGACCTATGAAAATAAAGAAAAAAGTACATGACACGAAAATGAATCCCCCTCCATTCCGGAGGAGTAAAATAAAGTAACAACTTTGAACATTTGTAAAATAATATCTGAAACAGTGCAGAATTACCGCTGAATTATTGTCGTAGTCATAGAAAGAGATCAAAAAAATAAATAAATAAACGGACTTTTATCAAGTGACATTTGTTCTGCACTTAGCTACATTTTTAATCGTGTTTAGAATATAAACACAAGTCTTTTTTATCTAAAAAAATACATTAAACGTTTACAATTCCAAAGGGAAAAATCGTCTTGTAAGTAAAAATCATACGAATCAGTGAACATCTTGTTGTCTATCAGTTACCGTGTCTTCATTTAATGTTTATGATAAATGTCATTGCATTTACTAGTAGCATATGACTAAATTATGCCAGTAAATACGAAACACATAGTTTTAACAATTCTGAAATAGGAAATATTATCAGACTACTCAGAATTTTGAAAAGCAAGGCGGCTAATGTAATTAAGTAGCCCAAGAGTTTTAGGCGATAAGTTTATTACATCAGATTTTGTTTGTAAGTGTATAATTAGAAAAAAATATCACAGAATGAATGTTAGTGCCAGTTGACAATAAATTCAAATGCTGTTATCACGAATTGACCTAAGTTAGATACACACCAATAATCAGAAAGCAATGAACATCTGTTATGTGCTTGTATGTAACTTCTTACCAGTGCCTGTCCATGATCTCATCTTTGGGTATCAAACCCATGACCTTCAGTCTTGCTCTCGAACGCGCGAATTCTCGACTACTGAGCCTGATTCAGAATAATTCACGGTGTCGTTCTATCGTTTTCCATTTTTATTAGTGGTTAACTGCTTGTAAACTTCTAGTGAGGATTTGTGACATATTGAGGTTAACTATCGGTCTGCATTAGGAAGGACCTGACATACATGACACTGATCATCACTCAGTGATCAATCAATTGTAAATACATCTCAGTCCTACAATAAGTCAGTCGCGGCCCGGATAGCTCAGTGATAACGTCTCTGGCCGTGAAGTTGGGTGACACGGCATTAAATCCGCCAAGGCGCATTAATTCCCTTAAGATAACAGGTACACCTTGATGACAAGTGACATGTAGCACGAAACTTAGGACCAGGGTTACCTGTTGACTATTTCAACATAGTGCACTCGATGTCAAGTCACCTAGACTAATGGCCATATTGCAATTTGGTCGACAGGATTCGATCCGCACTAAGAAGGACCTGGCATACGTGACAATGATCACCACCCAGTGATCTAATAGTTAACCGCTCACATACAAGAATGAAGGTTCAAATTTCGATCCACAGTGGCGGTCGTGAGTGCGGATTGTCAAGGAGTCTCATACTAGTACAAAACAGTTGCCCAGTACTCCTAGGTTTTCAGTGCATATCTAATTTAAGTCTATCGTCAATATCAATGACATTTAAAGTTTTCTAGATATCTCTATACTCACAGGAACGATGTGGTATTACTAAATGAACAACAAATTTTGATTAGTCACATGAAGTTATTAACATAAGATAAATTATTACGTAACATTTTGTACTGCATAAGTTCTCTTTAAAACCTACAATAATAAAGTAGTTTACACATTAGATGTAATAGTTATATTTTAAAACAATCTAATGAAAACTACTCTCCATAAATTCTAGCTGATTACTTTAATTGATTTAAGAAAGTATGATAACAAAAATTTGGCTAAGGAAATTGGTTATTTAGCCAGTTATTCAAAGTACCAAAACGTTGTTTATAAACTGACTCTTAGATCAGGAAAGTTAAATTTCACTGAATCTATTCAATGTAGATATGACAGTATAAACATAAGGATGTATTTAATACTATATATCAGTATACATGAATAGAGACGATTGTTAAGGGTTCATTATTATAGCAACACAAATAATGGTCTAAGCTACATTTGCTTTATAATTTTAAATAATGTAAAAGAAAATAAAAATTTACTAGCGTTTAGTCACATTCGATTAGTTGTATGATGAACATCTTAAAATGAACAACACAACACGAATATGAAAAACACCACTTCCAGCATAAACAATTATCAATTAATTTCGAGTAAGTTAGGAGTATTGTAGTGAACAGGAACATGAATGAGGCAATTGAATGCATTAGAACACGAAATTACAGAATATCTCGCTAAAATCTGAGAACCATACAGTAAATAGCTAGTTTGCAAAATATCAATCAATTGTGTTCGAACTTGACTGTTCCTTTTGCAAATTTCAGTCCATTGTCTCAGATTTCACTTTCCGTGCATTTTCATATCAATTGCTTACCGTTCCCATTGTTTCCTTCTCGAACTTCTACTGAAATATGTTCTATTTATGGCTATCGTTATATGCTGCTTATGTGGATATAAGTAGCTCACACTATAGTGTTTCAAGCAAAAAATTGTATTAAATCTCTGATAAGGATGAAGTGACATTTACTACAAATAATAACTTCTTTTCCTAATTAGGAACTAGAATTTCATGGAGAAACATTTAGATATTTTAACATATGTGAAAGTTGTGTATCTATTAAATTGTCAATGTACTTTTACAAGAAGAACAAACAACTTTAGATGAAAAAAATATGTAAAGTTCCTTCTAAATCCCTTCCAAACTTCTTCAAAAAAGTTCTTTCGTATAACTAATTTAATAATTATGTTGGAATGGATTCTTATTATCATTACTATTCTTATTATCATTACTGATAGTAGTTTAGTGAACAAGGACACCAGTTGGGACAACAAAATGCATCTCAACACAACACAGAATATCTTGGTAAAATCTGAGAACCATACAGTAAACACTTTATTCTGTTATTCCTTCGTTTTCATATCAATCATTCACTGGTCTCCTTCGCTTCCCTTCGATTTTCTCAACCTTCTGACGACAAACACTCTACTTTGTATTGATGCTACGTACTACTTAAATCTGTTGACATCAGTAACACATACACCACTATACCACAGTAGTGTTAGTCGTCGTGGTAAAATTAGTGATTTGTGATTACTTAAAGTACAAATAAAAAACACATAATCAATTACCGAATATTAAACGTGTCTTTCCTTTATATTTTCTTATATCTTATTACATTATAAAGCTGTGCATTTTATTTGAAAAAAGTCATTGTCCATAAGTCAATTTCACAATGTGTACGCTTTTTTTATGTACTGTAGGGCATAGGGATAATGGAAACGGTGACCAAATGGATAATCTCAGAAAAGATTTACTATTAATGAGAAATATATATGTAGATAGAGAAAGATGGAAAGTGATAGGTTTAATCTTCAGAGAATTAAGTAAAATTAATTACAACTTAGGGGGAATTATCATTCAGCTGAAAGTAGGATTACTTAATTATTATTATTAATGAATAATAAATTACCATAATGAAAAAAAATCACAATACCCCCTCATGAGACATTAGATACTTGTATAAGATAAATAATCAATATTGTAAAGTCCTCAACTTCTCTCTAATATCAATCAACTGAGATAGATAATTTTGTGTTCTTAGTAAATAATGATAATTTATAAGTAAAGTAAAATACATATTAATTGTAACATACAATAAGGCAAAAAGTAGAAAGGTCTGTTGTCAACATGAAAACAAAACAACCACATCACTACTACACAAGTGGATGTTTTGATATTGTCAAGTTCTTTAAGTTAAAAGAGCTAATTGTGGAACTTCTATTATTATGATCAATAACATCTTCAATATTTGCTTTATGTACAACAAATACATCAGTGATATTATCTAAGAGTATCAAAATTGAGAGACTAAAATTCTAATCCAAAAACAAGCATCAATTTCATCAAAATTACAGTTACGCCTTGTTGATGGATATCAGTTAACACTATTAAATACAAAGCAGTTCGAACGGGAATAGATAAACTGCTTTATGTTGACTTATTATTCTGCGCTAAAATACATTGATCTTTTTATTATAATCTAATCTACTCATTTTATTGTGGTATTCATAATAATAATGGTCACTTTACTCAATATTCCATGTTACGTATGGAATATAGAATACTTAGCATTTAAAACATTTGAGATGGTGGAGAAGATTTGTAGCTCAGGTGGATGATTTTGGTGGAGTTTTGTGACCAAACCATCCAGCTCAGAGAACAAAACTCCGCCAAAATTTAAAACATTTATTTTATATTCCTATTCTATATTTATTAAACACCATTGTTTGTTTGCATTTGATTCCATGCCGTTAACTATTTTCCAAACTAAACTTGTCATTAGAATTGAATAGAGAGAGAGAGACAGAGAGGAAGAGATAGAGACAGAAAGAATTCGTCCGAGACAGGTGATCAGTTAAATAAAAATTGTAACCAACGTTATTTTACTACCCACTAATATCTAAAGTAACATGATGAACGTAACTTCTTTTAATAAAGAAAAAGCTTTTTAACGAATTATAACAAAAAAAGTAATAATAGTCATTTTTAATGATAATAATTATTAATAACAGATTATATGATGTACACCCCCCCCACACACACACACATACTCGTGTGTGATTTAAAGATCAACTGTAACCATTTCGCCAATAAGTATTGATCATTGTATCTGTCATTAGTAGACTAAGATGTGATTATTTTAATTATTGTGTAAACTACCAAACAGTTTTTTTTGTTGTTGAAGTTCTTGTTTCTTTTTTTTGTTTTTTTTTCTACTTGGTAACATGTGTTACTCTAGACATCACGATCATTTTCTGTATTTATATACATGTTTATTATTACAAAGATTTATTAATGGACTGTATAGATACATGAAGAATTTTTTGTATATGTTTGAATGGAAATTAACATCTTGAAGAGATCAGATCTAAAATAAATTTTGTTCTATTATTTCTAGTTGTATTTTTTTTCATATTTTAGAATCATGGATTGAATAATAATAGGGTCTTTAGATTCTTTTGAGCTTCACCTTTGAAGTA